TTGGGTCTGTCATACCCAGTAAGAAGTTCAATCACATTAGTAATAATGGTAAAAATAATTATAAAAGTTACTGTTTTAAATCAAGCAGGAGAATAGAACATTCAAGTGACTTTCTTATTGTAGGTAAAGCGTGAAGTATGAAGTAAAATAAGTTGAACAAGAATGAGTTATGGGCTCTCTAGAAGGAAGACTTTTCTTGCAAATGGGAGGGCAGTGGTGAATTGTCAGTGTACCTATGAGCATGTGGTCGAATGAAAGGGTCAGGAGGGATTGTGAGTGTGTTGCCAGTCTTCCTGTGGGCACCTCCTCTGAATCTCATGCCATTTACTAGTAGTGATTCTACTATTGGTGAGTTTCTACTATTGGTGGTTTCCTGTTGTGGAGACTGGTGAATCCAACAGGACATACCAGTAAATGAAGAAACACAAGTACACTGTTTAGCCAGCCATTCTCAAACATCTCAAGTGCTCTCTAATAATTCATTAGAGAAATTAGGATTCTCCTGATTATTGCTTGAAGAGCTTGCTTTCTAATAAGTCAATGGTGAAAGGGTTTCTTATTTGATACTCTTTTTTATGAAGTACCCACCATGTATCATTCATTTTTAACATATTCTCTATTGGTTTTACCCAGAGTGAAAACCAAAAGTCTGTTTTTCAAACTGTATGGTGAAGCTTTCAGCTTCTGCGCTGTGCTGAGAGAAAGGTCAAAGGGACCTGGCCTGGCCTCCCAGGTTGCTACAACCAGCATGCGTCTACCTTATCTCTTTCATACAGTGGTGGTTTACTTATGATTTTGTTTTCATAAAATTCCAACGCTTTAAAGACATTTGAAAGCTACCACTTTAGGGAATTGGTGTTATTGTACACAGTAAAATAAATCACTTCTTTTTGAAGAATTATTTTGGATTGTTCTCATCTCAAAAAGATGAGATGTGTATTCTGTCTTCTCTCTCACTGAGTCACAGGTACTGCCCAGATTGGAATGTTTCAAATTTCTTCCCTTCCCTTCCCTTCCCTTCCCTTCCCTTCCCTTCCCTTCCCTTCCCTTCCTGCCCTGCCCTTTTCTTCTTATTTTTTAACAAAACATAAACATGTCTCTATAAAAAGTTTTTATGTCAAAAATATTTTTATGTATAAAAATATTTTTTAAATATATATATATATATTTTAAACCATTTTATTGAGGTCTGATTGACAGACAAAAAGCTATACATATTAATGTATGCAACTTGATGAGTTTGGAGATAAGAATACACCCGTGGAACATCATGATGCCTGTAGTTAAGAATACTGTATTATATACTGAAAAATTAGTGAAAGGAGTAGATCTGATGTTCTGTGTTCTCATCTCACACACACACACACACACACACACACACACACACACACACACACTAATGATAAATAAAGAGGGTAGGAGGCAACTTTTGGAGATGATGGATATATTTATATTTTTATAACTTTGATTTTATGCTATAGGCTTGTAATTCACAAACTAAGGAGTAACAACTTTAGTATATAGTAAGAAACAAGATTATGTTTCAAATGGCCTCGATTAAGATAATTTCTAGTTCTGCCTTCCAAAGAAAACTATTTCTAAGCTATACCTTCTCAAAAGTATTCAATTATGTCTTTGTTTTTTGAGAACATTACAAATTTGGCCTGTTTAAGGTCTCCTTCTTAAAAATAATGTAGATTGAGACAGAGAAAATTGATTTTCTTGAAGAATACCTTGATCTCTTGTTAGGTTGAAACAACAGGACTTATCTCTTCACAACAGCTTTCCTCAGATGGCGAAGAAGTGTCATTGACATTGTGGTGTGGGATGGTTCTGGCCTGTGTCATTTCCCATCTTCCCCTCAGGAAGCATTTAGAGGCTAGATTTCTTGTTGTTTGACTTGGGATTTGTCCTTTATTGGGAGGAAGATAATTCAGAATATTTTGTGTGAACAGTGTTAGGGAAACAGAGATGAGAAAACAGTAGTTGAGGGAGACTATGAGCCTCTGTGTGCTGTGGGGAGTATTGGAGAAACAAATGGGTTATAGTTTTCTAAGCATAGACTGGGAAGAGGTAACATCATTCATTTTAACCCCTAATTGACCCTAAAGAGAGATTTTTTTTAAACTTCAAAGTCCTGAATTTGATATACAGGTTGATTTGTATTTTATTTGCTCTTAGATGATAACTCATTCATAGTTAATCTAATAAGAACATTGTGTCCTGAACCTTATTGGGTCTTTCCCAATCATTAATTAGAATCCTGTTTATTTTTAATCAAGACATCTATTGCCACTCAGGGAGTAGGGGGAAAACCTTGAGTAGTAGAGTTAGTCATTGTTAACTATTTCTGGTATGACATTAAGAAAGTCAGTGCAGTTAGATATCATAGATTATGTCTTTCCAACTGATCCAATTTGTTTTCCCTTCCATTGTTTAAGTATTTTATACCTATATATTGAGACATCAGGCACCGTAGTGCTATGTAGTAAATGCTGAACATGTAATTTGTTTTGCCAAAAAGTTGGGAAGAAAAAGACTGGTTCTCATACGGGAGAATGTATTTACAATATTTCTATGGCAGAATCTATATATATAAAAGCCTAACCATTCAGCCATCTGACCAGTAGCTATGACGTGCAATGACCACCAGGGGGCAGATGCTTCGAATGGTAGCTATGACACATACTGACACCAGGGGGCAGACGTTCAATGAAGGAGCTGCAGAGTGACAGCAACTTTGCAGAGTGCTCTCTCACATTTTGGGATCCTTTGGGGGATGTCGGACTGCCGGTTTCGGCCCCGAAGGTCAGGCTGAGGGACCCCACCTACCGGAGGGACCCCGCTCACTCCACAGATATCCTTCGAGCCCTGGCACTGCCCCAGGTGCAGCCAGCTGGGGAGGGATGCGGGAGGTTGGCTCCAGGGCGTATCTGGCCTGTCTCGCCCAGTCCCACCCCACTGGCCACCCTCTAATTAATTTCCTTTCAATGTGTACAAATCTGTGCACTGGGCCTCTAGTTTATTATAATTGGCTGTACTCTGTTAAAATAGTAAGAACTTTAGGGTTTTGCTTTTATTTAATCAGAACATGAAATTTCTCGATATGATATAAACATGAATGTGCAGGAAGATTATTTTTCACAGTTATTTTACCGCTTTAAAAGATATTCTGAATAAAAACAATCTAGTGGAAGGGCTTTAGTTATCTTTTACTTTTCAGTGTAGAAGTATCATTTCCTATACTTATGCTATGTGTGAAGACAAATTTTATTTTTGTACAATTTCAGTGAACTTCTGATAGCTGTAGTCATGAACTTCACGTCTCTCTCTTTCTCTTCCTCCTTCCCTCCCCCTTTTTACTTTTCTCTCTCCCTGCTCCATTCCACCACATACTATTCACTTGTGAGGCAGCTCTGGTATAATGGACCAGGCACTGGGCTTGGTCTCAGAGGTGTAAGTTTGAGTTTTGCTCTGCCATATACAAGCTCTGAGGACTTTGACAGATACTTAACTTCTTAGGACCTTAATTCATCTATAAAATGAAGGAAATAGTCATCATGGTTGCAAAAGAATAAATGAAATATTGCACATGAAGAAACACAGCTAATACTAACACCTTATTGAAATTTTTTTTATTAGAGTAAAATATACATAACATAAGAGTTACCATTTCAGCCATTTTAAGTATATCATATAATGGCATTAAGTATATTTACAGTGTTGTGCAACCATCACACTCTCCATCTCCAGAACTTTTTTATCATCCTAAACAGACAGAAACTCTATACTCACTTAATAATAACTCTCTACTTCTTCCTCCCCCAGTTCTTGGTAACCACCATTCTACTTTCTATTTCTATGAATTTGACTGTTTTAGGTACTTCATATAAATGGAGTCATATAATATTTGCCCTTTGTCTCTGGCTAATTTCACTTAGCAAAATGTCTTCAAAGTACATTCATGTGTCAAAATTTCAGTGCTTTTCAAGACTGAATAATATTCCATTTTATGTTTGTACTAGAGGCCCGGTGCACGAATTTGTGCACCAGTGGGGTCCCTTGGCCTGGCCTGTGCGATTGGGCTGAAACCAGCTCTCTGACATCCCCGAGGGGTCCTGGATTGCAAGAGGGTGAAGGCCAGGCTGAGGGACCCCACTGGTCCATGATCAAGGCCGGAGAGGGATGCAGGAGGTTGGCCAGCTGGGGAGGGACTGTGGGAGGGCTCCAGGGTGTGTCTGGCCTGTCTCGCTCAGTCCCAATTGGCCAGACCCCAGCAGCAAGCTAACCTACCAGTCAGAGCATCTGCCCCCTGGTGGTCAGTGAACATCATAGCGACTGGTCGACCGGTCGACTCTCTGCCCTCTGGTGGTCATAGCGAGCGGTTGAGCAGCCTTAGCATATCATTAGCATATTATGCTTTGATTGGTTGAATGGACGACCGGACACTTAGCATATTAGGCTTTTATTATATAGGATCATATTTGGTTTTTCCATTCATTCGTTGATGGACATTTGGATTATTTCCACCTTTTAGCTAATGTGAAAAATGCTGCTGTGAACATATGTGTGCAAGAATCTGTTTGAGTTCCCTTTTTCAGTTCTTTTGGGTTTACACCTAGAAGCAGAATTGCTGGATCATATGGTAATTCTTTGTTTAACTTTTTGGGTGACATTCTACTTTTAAGTGTTTTTGGAATCTATTGAATTGATTGTAGTGATGTGACTCCTAAATGGAGTATTTGTTCAGAGTGGTCATTTACTAGTAATTCCCATAGTTTACATGATGGGAGTCAGGACCGTGAGGTCACCTGACATTTCAGGACTTCAGGAACACCTTGCCAAGGTGGCAAGCTTTCTAGCCCATGGTCTTCAGAAATGTATTCCCTGTGGGCTTAGAGATCATTGAGGGTGAAGATTTGCTCTGTTGGCGCCCAAATGTCTTGGTTAAATAATAGCTGTATCAATGGATATATTTTCTGCTTTGCACCTTTCTGCAGGGATTTGAGGAGACCGAAGAGGCGGACGACAGGCTGATGGGCTCAGTTGGTAGGCTGCATTATCTCACCATGACTGCCGAAAACCCGACGCCTGGAGACCTGGCTCTGGCTCCTCTTGTCACTTGCAAACTCTGCCTGTGTGAACAGTCTTTGGACAAGATGACCACACTCCAGGAATGCCAGTGCATCTTTTGCACAGCTGTAAGTTTTCCTTGATGCTTGCATCATGAGGATATACAAAGGGAAGAACTGTAAAGTTATAGGATGCATTTCTGTGGCTTACTGAGAAGCCAGGATTGCTACAATATGGTCCTACTTTGGAGAGCAACTCCACATTTGGATCTGTTTCCAAATAGTACCTTGAATGGTAAATTCTGTATTTGCTGGTTTTTAGTATATGTGTGTGATATGTAATTATTTGTTGAGTAGACAGAGTTTTTCTGTTCTTAAAGTTCTGGCTAAGAAACAAAATAGAGGCATTTTTAACATGCCTCAGCTAACTATCATCCGTAAGAAGCTCATGGGGTATTTTGAATGATGGAGAAATCAGGTAGTAATTTACTGAATTTTCTTTCATATACTTGCTTGAGCATCTCCTACAAAGCACATGGTATGCACTGTTTTACTTTGTCATATCTACTCCTTTTTTTTTTCTATTTCCACAATTTGCCAAAGGCTGTTTATCATAATAGAGAAACGCTATAAAAGTCCAGGCATGGGCTTGTCCCTTTCAGTCTGACACTTGGTATCAATGCCCATGACCTTTATTGTACGTTTCCCTGAAGGTTGGTTGGTTAAGCTATAAAACGAGGAAACGGACTGATGAGTTCCAAGTGACTATTAGAAGTATGAGCCCAGGTGGTTTACTCAAATTTTCATTTATTCAAATATTTTTTTGAGTTTCTGCTGTGTGCCAGGCACTCTGCTGAATGTTGGGAATATAAAAATGAGTAAGATACTTTCCACAGGGGAGACGGACACATTGAAGGAACTCTGCTAGAGTCTGGTGAGATCAGGGATGGTTGAACGTAACACGCCGTCTCACCCCCTCGGGGCAGGGTGTGTGGAGGGGTTTCTGGGTAGCAGTGACCTCCAAGCTGAGGCTTTAACAAGAGATTGCAAACCTGATAAACCTGATGCCCATGGACCAGGTCTGGCCTCAATACTCTTTTTTTTTTTTTGATTGGGAAATGTAAAACAACTAATTTTATAAATTTTTCATGAAAAAGTAGTAAGATATAGCTACTCTGGGCCTGTGTTCATAGGTCCAGAAATAGATGATCTTTCCTCCATTTACGTACGCGTCTGTCTCCTGTATGTTTTTGAATTAACTGTACTTTCAAACTAAAGATGGATTGGTGAAGAGTCAGATGAGAAGCGTGCTGGCATCTCAGCATGGCACAGGGGAGGGTCTGATGCCTAAAGTTAGTATTTACCTTTATCTTTGCTTTGGTAGGCCTTGTATGGTCAGGCTGTTAATATTTATTATACAGACAATACAGTAATTACCCAACAAATGAAGGTTTCATGCCCTGACTTGTGAAGGGAATTGAATTGGTTAGTTACAGTGATCTGTGGTATAATCAAGGGAAATAAAAGAAAGGAATAATTTAGGAAGTAGAATCATTTTAAAAGAGGCATGTTTATTATTAATGTTTACTAAGCATTCTTTTTTTCAACAGACAAGTTATAGTAAAATAAAATTCCACATTTTTTTGTTAATGTAATCAATGAGGCACATTTTCAAACTAGTTCATATTAATTTTCTTAAAAAATATTTTTTTTAAATTGAGGATTACGGTAGGAAGAAGAAGCCTCAGCATGACTTTTAGTAAAAAAGAAAGGTACTGAAATCCTTTTCTTATGTTTTGAACTCTAGAATCCAAAGATGGCTAAGAATGGTATTTGTTTGTTCATTTATTCAACAAAAATTTAGTGAGCAGCATCCTGTATGCCAGGAATTCTTCTAGGCACCAGGATTTATCAGTTAAAGAACCAAAACCTGGCATTGATCCTTGCTCTTGTCAAAGGAAGATGTACAATAAACAATAAACATAATGAATAGGTAAGATACAGTATTGGGTGATAAGGACTTAGAAAAAAAAATTGAGCAAGAGGTGAGGAGTGCAGGGTGAGGGGATGTTACAGTTCTGGTAGGGGCGGGAGAAGGCCTGACTAAGTGATGTTTGTGCTGGTTCTCTCTGATCTTGTCAGTGAGCATTGCTTTATAGGAAGTGAGGAAATGACCTTGTCATCTCAGGGCAGATTTAGTTTCCTTTGGTCTTGCTTTGTTTCTGAATGCTGTGCCTCAGAATGATTACTTCTCTGACTTTTTCACATATGTTTCAGACCCTTGCTAATCCTTGAAACAAATGAGTCAGAAGCAACATTTGGTTCAAGGCAGGATGGAAAATTTTGACCAAGTACTGCTGATGTTTAAAAGCAGGATATGGAATTCAGTTTTTGCTGTGAGATGTAATAGTGCGGCATTCGAGATTGTATATCAACATTGGGTAAAGCATAAACAAGCAAAGGTGGTTATGTCATATTCACCAGAAGCTGACATTGACATACTGTTTCAGTAGGTCTTAGTTCCCAGTTAAGAACAACACAACCACTTCTCATTTCTCCTTCAGCAATTCAGAGGTAGGAGTTAGTACAATTAGATTATGTCATCTAGGCTCATACTTCCTTATTGTTGGGGAGTGCTCAAAAGCAGAAAGTCAATGGCTTGGTATTTTTGGTATCCCTCCAACTTTGGAACTTTTTGTACCTATAAACATTAACCTTGCCTGACTTCCTGATACCCCATTTCCTATGATCTGCCGAAATAGTAAGCTGCATGTGTTTGGCTACATTAGAGTCTGTAAATTTGCAATTGATGCCAAACCCACCTGAAATACTAACTCCAACTTTTTATTGTTGGAGCTTTTCTTTTTAAAAAAATATTTTAAAATATGCCTAATCCTCCCAGATATTACTTTGCATTCAAATTAAAGTTATCAAATGTTTTTAGTATTTTCAGGGCTGAAAAGACATTTGTGAGTTTTTTATTATGCCACATACTACTAATTCCCAACTCTAAATATGATTGGATGACATCTCCCAAATACTGGCTGAGAAAGACCAAGTATTTAAAAAGGTTTTGCTAAGAGAGCCCCTCTGTCCCCCTCATCAGGGAAATGCCTGAGTGTAATGGTCCTCCTGCTAGATATGGAATTATACTTACATATTTTCATAGATTTAATCAAGCTCTTTATACATTCTATCCTACTCCTGTTTTCCCTAAGATGTATCCCTGGACGTTTGTTGTGAGGTTAAATTCTTTCTGTTTCCAAGATCAGTGTGCTCTGGGAGTGCAGAACGGACAGATGTGGAGTGTCTCACTTGACCACTGGATGCCAGCCAGCTCATTCCCTTTCTTTAGGGAGATCTGGCCTTTAAACAGGCATCCCTCACCCGTGTGTTCCATGGACCTCCAGCTCTGTGAAACAGAGGTGCTTCCTGAAGAAAGTGTTTCATACTCAAATTAACTTGGAAAATGGTATGTGCTCTACACCTCCCTTGGAGGGACCTACTGTATATTTGCCTTTTAGAGGCTCTGAAATCTTGTGGTTAAGAGGAAAGCAAGGGGACCCTGCTTAACTTCTTCCAAAGCATTTCCATTTGATCATACCACCTTTTTTAGTGGGACACCTATTAACTTCCCTACCATTAGAGCTCTGAAGAATGCTGCTTTAAATTATTCTTGATTTAAATGACATCTTGAGAAAGGAATGTGACAAACATTTAAATAATCCATCAATATATCGAGTTTCTTTTTAAAGGAAACTTACCATGTTCTATTTGTGAGGATGGTTTTTGTTAAACTGTTTGCTCAGCTTTAATATACAGAAGAAAGTGTAGTATAAGACGCGGGAAGCTGAATTTACAGGACAAAAATGGGTGTAGCTCTCACTAGCATGACTGAAGTTATCGGGCATAGGTGTATTATGGAGCCAAAGAAATTGATATTTGGGAGTTATGGAGAGAGGTGTTGCAAAATTACTTGTTTTTATGATGGAAGGTTTTTGTAATTTCTGAGGTATGTTAGTGTACTAACTAATGATATGCAAAAACATCTCTCTCTTTCTCTCTGTTCCTCTCACACACACAACACACACACTTTCTTTCTCACCCCTGTGGATTTAAATAACCCAAAAATGAAAATTCAAAAAATTCCTCTTCTGGCATCTGCAACACACTTTTTCAGATAACATCACACAATTATAATTCAAGTGAAAGAAGAAATATTCACAAAAGTCAATTATCAAAGGAGGGCAAATTTGTGGGTTTGCTCCCTTGTGAGCAATATTTGCCTTTTTGATTTATTTTGGAAGCTATTTTCGTCAGCCACGAATTAAAGAATAATGAAAACACAGTTGTTGCTTGTTTTTATAACCTAGATAATTTCACCTGAAAAGAGTTGGTATGTTGGGCATGGCCTATTTACCGTTCAGATTAGAGACAGGATGTGCTGAGCAAAAAGAAAATAAAGTCCAGCCATATTCTTGCCTTTTTTCCATTACGTTTTGTTGGCTCGAAGTAGTTAGAACTCCTTTTACTATTCATTTCTCTGAGCCAAATGGATTTTCCAATGTCTAAAAAAGTGAGAGGAAATATAAAAGTTTTCAGACTAAGCCCTTCTTTTCCTTTGGGCCTGTTGGGTGACCTTTAAGCAAAGCCCACGTATGGCCTGGGAGACATTTCAGTTTGGGAAGATTAGCAGTATGTGCATGTGTGTGCACACGTGTGTGTGCACATGTGTGTGCACGTGCATGTATATATTTGTGTCCATGTGCATACCTGTGCACCGACATGGTTGGTAACTTTCAAGTGAAGCAGAGAATCTGTAATGGTTCATTTCTGGATTCTGATCTGTTTTAGGAGAAAGGAATGCCACTTTTCTGTTTCCCCCTCCATCTTCTCTCCCCGTGCAGCATGGTGATTAAGAGTGCAGATACAGAGCTAGGAACACCCAGACTCAAGTTCAGGCTTGGTCATTTAATGGGGTGTGACTTTAGGTAAAATCTCTGGCTTTTCTTTTTTTTTTTTTAATAAATTTTATTGATTTTTTACAGAGTGGAAGGGAGAGGGATAGAGAGTTAGAAACATTGATGAGAGAGAAACATCGATCAGCTGCCTCCTGCACACCCCCTAAT